ATACATATTACATTATTAATTAAAAAATCCTTATTGTATGTAGTTTCTTTTTCTTCCACCGGTATCCCTGTCCGCCCAACAAAGTTAGCTTCTCCCAACAAGGGGGTCCCTCCTCAATGGCAACAAAAACAGTGAGTAATTCAGAAAAAACAAGTCTAGATTTTTTTTTTTTTACATATTACAGTTATTTATACGTTAATTAGATGATGGTTAAAAAGATTATTATAAATTTAAACGTGCAACTCATAAAAAGTGAATAATTCTAACATAGAATCTGTAATTGCACCAAACCAGAAGTCCTTCTTCAGTCCACGTCTTCACTTTGGATGAACCTGCAAAGCCCCGAGATGGATCTCGGGGTAGACACTCCGATGCTTAAGTCAGCAATAATCGGGGCTACCTTTAGGGTGGAGATAAAAGGAGCTTAGGGTTGGTTCCAATTACCTTTTGACGTGGCCTCTAGGGGGTATTTATTGGCTCCAGTGAGGAATCCACGTGGCATGCCAAGCAAGACAATCGGAACCTGACGTGTCTATCCAGACGGTTATTTCGGGACCGGGAATTTGAGAGATATTCGAATGCAGGAATGTCCATCCTAATTGCTATACAGCTCATCGTAAAATATCAGGTGCGGGCATGCTTACTGTCGCTGTTATGCAGCTGTTTGAACGGGAAGCTTTGGATTTATCCTTTACTTCGGTTACAAAAGAATTACTGTCGCATGTCCGAGGTTAAGCACCTCGGACCTATCCTTACACTATTCCCCCCCCCCCCCTCGAAGTCATTCACTTGTGAATGATGGTGTTGGGGATGATGGGGGTCAGTTACAGAAGTACAGATAAGAATAAAAATCTATAACTCATATTTGTATGTTCGTAGCTAATAATACAGTAAGAGACAGGGGTCATGATGATCATGCCTCAAAATAAAATGTAATTGGAGCATTCATGGCCATGGTCGTGGTAAAAGTAGTGACCTGAGTCAATGTGGCCAGAGCCATAGTAAAGGATAATGACCGGAGTCATAGTGGCCAGGCCCATAATAAGAAATGATGACCGGAGTCATAATGGCCGAAGCCGTAATAAGAAATGATGACCGGAGTCATAATGGCCGGAGCCGTAGAAATGATGACCGGAGTCATAATGGCTAGAGCTGTAGTAAAAGATGTGACATTGGATCACTGTGCCCATAGCCGAGGTAAAACATGTGACACTGTCATTATGGCCGTAGCCGAAGTAAAATAGGTGACACATAGTCACTATGGCCGTAGCCGAGGTAAAACACTTGCAAAATTTAAATTGTGCAAAAGTGAACAATAGTGTTGAAATGGGCTTGAGTGGGCCCATCTGAGATGTCTGACAAAGGTGCAGTACGTGGTGTGACAGCTGTTCTTTGAATAACGTACGTAATAAATGCGGCCGTAAAAAGATAACTGCACAGTTGAACGGGTGGATTTAAAATTGAACCGTCAAGTTTGAAACATTGCCGTTTTGGGCTGACCGTCGAATTCGAAACGGTTTGACTAAGGACCGTAAGATTAAACGAATCTTAGCCATTGAGATCTAATTTTACCTAGAGGTATAAATAGTGATTTTTTTACATAAAGAACTTTACTTTCATTATATTTTCTGCAAAATTTCTTTGAGAGCTTTACGGTGTGTCTTCTGTGCGTAAGTTGCTGCATCAGTTGTGGGTTTTCACACCAAGCTTTCGAAAACAAAATCAAGTACTGTATACGATTCACTGATTTCCATTTAGTTGAAGTGTCACTCTCCTTTCTACCTTTTTGTGGTTGAATTTGAGTTTTTGGAAGGAAATTAGGGTTGGGGATTGGGAATAATTTGAATGTGCGTTCAAGGGTTTTTTTTTTTTTTTAAAAAAAAAGGGGTCCTGACTTCATTCGTGCCCCTACTTCATGCAGAAATTAAGCAAATGTCTTCAGAAGGAACTGTGAGTGTTATAGGGAGTGAAGTAATGCCCTTGGGGTATGGTGGGATGGACTCAGAGAGTAGTCCATCCAGTTCGGAGAAAACGGTGGAAGGGGTAGAAGGAGGTGAGATAGTTGGGGTAGGGGGAGGTGAGGTAGTTGGGGTTGGGGGGGATAATGTTCCCATAACTGTAGTAGAAGTTGAGGGTAGGGGAGGGAGGTGCTACGATGTAACTGCAGACATCGTAAGTGAAGTGAAGAAATATGAGTCTGAGCTTAGGACTAGGGATAGCTTGGGGTACTTAGTAGAAAGCTATGAGATTTCATCTCGAGCATTGGTTAGGCCAGCTAGGGTAGAGAAGAGAGCATGTTCTGCTCCTCAGGATCATTGGATGCCCGTGTATGCCCATTATTTGGCAGCCGGGCTTAGGTGTCCAATACCTGAGTTGTTGGTGGGTTTGTTGTTAGATTATAGTATAGGATTGACACAGTTGGTTCCCAACGCAATGAGGGTAATAATAGGATTTTTAGTTTATTGCCGAGCTCAGAGGATTAGTGTGCCAACTGTAAATATGTTTAAGTATTTTTTTTGTTTTAAAGGGGGGTAGTAGGAAGGACAAGGGGTGGTATTATTTCACCCCTAGGGTAGCAAATAGGGAGAGTAGGGCTTTATTCACTGCCGGTCCTTCATCCATTAAAGGATGGAAGGAGAAATTCTTTTTTGTAGATGATACGGTTTGGGAAAGGGGGGATGCCGAGGTGAGGGAGTTAGCATTCTGGAAGGCTAAAAAACCCAACCAGAATAAATTTAGGTTAAATGAGGATAAGGAGGAAGAGGTGAGGAAGTTAGAGAGGGAGGGGGGAAACTTACTGAACATCATGGACCTCACCAGCGCAGAATGCATAGAAGCTGCTGAGCTCTATGGGCCAAGCGCTTTAAGTGAAGGTTTGTTTAGATTTACATGGTAGTGTTCAATGTAGAGAGCGAGCGTGAGGCTCAGGGGAAGGAGATAGAGCTGATGAAGAGTGCCTATATGGAGTTGAAGAACAATGTGCAGCTGCTGGTGCACAATGGGATGGAGGAGCATATTAGCAACTTCATCAGCTCGAGCTCGTTTGACAACATCGTCAACCTCTACCGGCTGCCAACTGCCATCATTGCCTTCACGGACTGCAGAAAGAAGGTGAAGACTGTATATCCCAAAGTGGATGTTACAAGGATAACCTTTTGAGAGCAAGAAGCTGGAGTGGAGGAAAATGGTGAAAGTATGTCAGCAGACTTCCGCCCGGAGATCAAACTGAAGTGGGATCGTGATGCTGACGGACGCACTATTTTCCCTCCGAACTTCAACTTCGAGTTCGTTGCAGTGGAAGAAGAAGAGGCAGAGGTAGAAGAAGAGGCAGAGGTAGAAGAAGACGAGGTGGAGGCAGGAGCAGATGGAACTGAAGTAGATGGAACTGAAGTGGATGAGAACCAACCAGCGCCAGAAGTGGAGATTCATCCAGTTCCTTCTGATGATGATTAGCCTCCTCTGCCAGACGAGCAGCAGCCAACAGAGCCACCTCTTCCAACTGAGTAGGAGCCAGCTCAGCCACCTCTTCCAGCGAAAGATTAATTTTTGTTTATGTATTTGTTTTTTTGTTTTGTTAGTATAAAAACGATTTGTAATACTTTGGATTTATTGAATGAAATTTTTATTTAAAATCATATGTTGTGTACTTTAGATTTTTGTTGGTTTATATTGATAGAAGTGTTGAGATAACTATGAATGTTAATAATTTCAGAGATGAAATAAAATGAAGTTATTTACTTCGGAAATGAACTAAAGAAGAAGTAAAACACTTCAGGTAAAGAAGAAGTAAAGGACTTCAGATAAAGAAGAAATAAAACACGTCAAATAAAGAAGAAGTAAAGCACTTCAGATAAAAATGAAGTAAAGGACTTCAGATAAAGAAGAAATAAAACACGTCAAATAAAGAAGAAGTAAAGCACTTCAGATTGGGAGTGACTTTCATTAATAAAAATGAAGTTCATTGACCTCGGATATACAGAATAAGAGGTAAAACGAATTTGAACAATCATGAAGTAATAAGTGTAAAAGACAGTAAGACATAGATCACTTGAAAGAAGTTTGGTTAAATGCTAGATTTGGTCCCTCAACTTTAGTGAGTTGTACATTTTTGGTCCTTTAACAATTTTTTGCACTTTTTTGATCCCTCAACTATACAAAATGCACTCCGTTAATCCTTCTGTCAATTTAGGCCGTTAACTCAGCCACATGGCATTTTTTATATTTTTTTTTATGACATAGCAGGCACAACTTAAAAAAGATGCTTAGTTGGACCTTTTTTTTTTTATAACATGTCATCTTCATCTTCTTCACACAAAACCCTCAAATGGATTCCAGTTACCTGCAAACTGGTCTTTCATCTTCACCATCTGCAAAATCGATCTTAACTCATTTCTTTTTCTTCCGTGAATGCTTCTCATCTCCACTCCATCTACAAAACCGACCTTAACCCACCCATTTCCTCTTCTTCTCCTTTCTCAGGGAAACTTGAGCTACTGGTTTCATTGAAACCTCAAACCTGGTAGATCTTACCAAATCAAAATACCCTTCAATAAACAATACTAATCAAACTCTAATCGAATATCAATAAAAATACAATCAAACTTTAATCAAATTCTAATAAAAATGCAATCAAATTATAAATCAATCTCCAAATATATTAACAACTGGAAATGGAAATAGAAAGAAGAACGAAAAACCAAGAACCAAGCTTTCTCAGCAAAGCTGGGTTCGGTTGAAGGCTGGGTTTCAACCGAACCCAGCAAGGCTGGGTTCCGGCGAACCCAGCCTTGGCTTGTCGCGAACCCAGCAAAGCTAGGTTCAACGGAACCCAGCCTTGGCTGGGTTCGTCGAAACCCAGCCTTGGCTGGTCGACGAACCTAGCAAGGTTGGGTTTCCACCGAACCCAGCAAGCTGGGTTCATCCAAACCCAGCCTTGGCTGGTCGACGAACCCAGCAAGGCTGGGTTTCCATCGAACCCGAAAGAAAGAAAGAGAAAAAAAGAAGGGGAAGAAGAGGGATTGGGAGGGTGAGGGTGAGGATGAGGGTAATAAAGTAATTTTATATATTTTTAAT